AAACCACGAAATCATGACGACGACGGCAAAGCGAACATCCAAAAACAAATTTGTTTTTTGATGGCACACAATTGATTTTTTGATGTTAAATATACATTGTAAAAGCTACATGATCTGATTAGTGGGCTTCATTAAAACTAAGTGAGAAACCTCGAGTGTTAGTCACTGATTCTCTGTTATATAATTTTTTTTTCAATTGCAGTCTTCATCAAGAGGTTATTGCTCAGAGAGCTTTAGACAGGTACGAAAACATCATTTGTGTTTTAACAGTAGCCTGTAGCCCTCGGGGGGGCGGGGGGGGGGCAGGGGAGTGGGAATGGGCCCTTACCCCCACCCCCTTGGGGAGCTTGCTTGCTGGCTATGTAAGCTGACGTTCTTAGTCGAACTGAAAGTCTCCAAAATATGTTAGACTGATTTCTGATAACTAATTTATTTTGAACAGGAGATTAACAGAAGAACTTGTGCGATTCAAAGCGTCCATTAGCTCTCTGACAAGGTTTGTTTTTAACTTTGTCATGATATTTAAACTTTATTTTATTTTATTTGCTTCCAAAATTTATCTCGTTAAGTTAAATAGCTTTGAGTGTAAGAAAGATCCTTCGACAAGCGATCAATGACAATACAGTGATTATCTTTTCTTTGTTTTTTTGTCTTTTTTTGTTTTCAACAGCGAGCTTGCTTCAGTGAAAGCTCATGATCGAGAGATAACACAACAGGCTAAACACGCCCAGGATGAGGTAATTAACGAGAAACGCAACTGTACAGTCGCTTAAAGATTTTTTTCGTGGCCTTCACGGGGACATTAATTTCAGCAAATCTGTCACGTGACTTAACGTGAAGCAACTATCCGCGTTCAAACTGAGCACATGCAGGTGCACGTGATTTAGATTTATAGTTGTGTTTGTGCACGTGGAGAAGCTCGTGGACTGGTAAGGCACGGAGTATTTTGTTATTTAGCAACTCAGCCATCAGTGAGGTCGACTTTTAAGTAATGATCCGAGTAAGGTGGATAGCAATTTCTTTTGTTATGCGGCAACGGTGCTTTCCCCACATACGAATGTTCTCATTTTTACACAGAGAATGCATAAACCTACATTAAGGCCGTTTAAGCAATAAAATGCATTTACACTCCACTTTGAAAGGGTGTTTTTTTGTGTTAAAAGATTTTGACCAATCACAAGAGTTGAAAACAATAGCCAAGAAAAGTTTACAATTTTACATGTTCCCCACATAGGATTTCTTTATTATTCAAACTGAGACCAGATTTTGTTATATGGAAGGTGGCTGGAAAGTAAGGATGAATATATGTACTGCTTTATGAAGTTTTGTTAACTTTTGCTGTTTAAGCCAATCAGAAGTAAGTACAGACAATAGAAAAGTTAGCACCTTTTTTGCATTCCAACATGTTCGTTGCCGTTGTTGCTGTCGTTCTTATCTGGACCGTTTCTTAAACCAAAAGTTCTTTCTCTGCGCGAGGAGGCAATTCGCAATGTTACTGGTAGAGCGCAGAAAAAAGTGTGGCAATTTAAAGCCAAAGCAATCATTTATACATAGTTGATATGCATTTACTGACTGTTTTTTTTTAGCTAGAAGATGCTCTTAAAGAATCTGACAAGAATGCAAGGTAATTATGGCTTCATACTTGTGCTAATCCCCGCTCTTTGCCCGCTTAGCTCTTTGGGCCTGTTTACACGGAGGTCTGGGACCCCAGATAGGTGAGGTAACATGAGGCGGGTCGCCCCACCTATCATGTAAACGTGATCAAATTAAAATGAGAGATTATATGGACAGGCGGGTTACCCCATCTAAGCAGGTTACCTCACTTTCCAGGGGTCCCCCACCTCCATGTAAACAGGCCCGAAGTGACGTTTTCGCTGCCATGGCCGTCGTGGCTGGTGGCCTGTCGTGTTGACCACTCGGCCAAACTGCCCTCTATTCGATCCGGATTCGTTAAAGAGCTCTTGAGAGCTTGTAGCAGTTCAAAGGTAAACCACTGACTTTTAATTTTTGTGCCATCTTTCAGTTTGATATCAGAATACCACGACTTGTACGAATTACAGAGAAAAAGACTGGAAGGCTTAGTTGGTAAGTGGTGCTTGATTCCTTAACCAGCCGACACGAGATCAACATTCAGTCAAACAAGGTTTGAACGCAGTGACTGAAAACAAAAGTAGATTCATGTGAGGTAGTTTTTCCAACACGAGAAAGAGACTTTTATTTGATATCCAATATTCGAGAAGCAGATTAAAAAACTAAGACGCTTGTGGCTAAAATATCGTAGACTTGCGAACGTTCAGTATAGTAGATTCTTCTGTCTAATGTAGATGGTTGTAAAACCAAAGACCAAGAAAATGACGTCAAATGTTCAAAGGCGGGTGGTTTACCTTTAAAAGTTTTGAACAGTTTGGCATTATTTCCACGGAGAAGGAAATTGCTGTTTATTTATTGTTTTAAGAAACGTTGAATGCTTCAAACCGTCCATTTAAGGTGAAGTTTCTCGGAAAATCGGGCGTAAGGGACAGACAGCAAATTGTGCCATTTCATTTTCATTGCCTATACTCTCGTGGACCATAGTTCTCGACAAGAGAGAATTGACTGGACGAGAAATCGCCCAGAGTCATGACTTCTGAGTGGTTCATGAATTACCTTTGTCATCCTTGTAATGTTGGTCTCGCCCACACGTATCCGGATATTTTGGAAAAAGGAGATTATTTTTTGCGTCCCCTCGATCGCATCCCATTTATGTATGATATCGTCGTATTCGAAAGTAACCTCCGTTTTCGTCCTTCCACACGAAAAAAAATATTAAAGCCAGCGTTTTCGAAAAACTCCTTTCTGGGGACCGGTTTCGAAAACCTGCATTTTTGGTGCCGGAAAACGTTATATACGTGTGGACGGAAGTCTGCGGAGTAAATTGTCTTTGTTTTCAAAAATATCTGGATATGTGTGAACGGGACCTAAGAATCGCTATATCCTTTGTTGTGTAGGTAAACTCACTGAAGAGCGTGATCTATGGAGTAGCGCAGCATATACTCTTTCCTTGAAGGTTACGGACAAACACTCGCTCAACACTGCAAAGAAGCTGCACCTCTGCGAAAAAGCTTGGGCAAAATTGAGCCGACACTTTGCCATTTTCTTAAGTGAAAAGGATAGTATACAGGTAAGTGTTAGTGAGGCACTTACCCTTAAGGGTGATGCTCGATACACCAAGTCAATATCAACACTATTGTCTCGTTCTATTATGTGAAGTTTATTGTGTGACTGTGTAAGTGCTAGAACTCATTGTTGTGTTATTTGTGACGTAACTCGAGACTTGCTATTCACTTGGTATATCGTGAACCAGCCTGCCCTAGCTATAGAATGAACAAAGAAAGAGAGAGAGAGAGGGAGAGATTGTGACTTATTTTGAAGTCTTCGAAAGAGACTTAATTGCACTGTTACCTACCGAACGTACGAAAGGTTTAGTGTATTCATGTAGAGCGCATGTTAGAAGGGCCAAAAAGTTATGCGCGCAAATCACTGCGGAAATTACGCTTAGGCGTTTACGTCTTAGTCTCGGACAGGCGCGTCTCCAAAAGGTAAGCAATGTAAATGTAAGTATCAGGCTTGCTAGCCTGTCTTAAGAGGGTACAGGAGAACGAAGTCATACGAAGTCATACGTTGGTCCGATATGGTACCCTGCGAACATTCATTACTATCCTGCTTTTGACCTTTTTCTATCGTTAAGTGTACCTATTTAACAATTCTTTTCGAGTACGAATTCAATATAAGACGGTAGATATCGCTGAGTTGGCTATAATCATCTCAGATCCAACAAGCGCGAGTGGAAGAACTGTTTTATTAGCCTTGTCAGGATTTCTACATCTGACCAAAGTTGATAGACGACTACTGAACGAATTGCCCTGATGGCTTTGGATGAATATTCTTGTTCTGCTATGAAAAGAGCTTGCAAAGAAGTAATAGAGAAGCGCGATTTGATAGTTGTAACGCACGTAAATGTTCTGAAGATCTCACAAAACTTGCACGCGACGTTCGAATTCTCCACTATGACGTCATAATGACATAGCGCGAGCGCTTGTTCGGACAAACTGTATGTTTTTATAAAGGCAACCAGTATTCGTCCCAAACTTGCACCGCCCTTTGCACATTTATGTTTTCGGGAACACTCAAAGAAGCAACTAAAGAAAACTTTCCACTTAGCCTGGAACACGAAGAGTATCCAGTATCTAAATACGTGCCGGGTTTCTTTTTTTTTATTCAAGTGTTTTGCCATTTTCACCAAGATGATTGTATATGGATTTTTAACTGTCTCTGTATTCAATTTTTTTTTAATTTTAGCCCATCAAAGAATTTCAACTCGTATTCTTATCACTTCGCTTGTAGCTCGAGAGGTTGACGCATCATGTACAGAGATGGCGAGAACTTTCGGATAAGTTCAATAAAAGTCTTGTTTCCTCTGAGGAGGAGATGATAAACAGAGTAAGTATTTCATATTTTCGATTAATATACAGTATAGCAGAATCCTCATTTCTCGAACCTTAACAAATTCCTGATAGTACGAAACAGCCCTAACTTCCATTCACTAGTCGACCATTGTAAAGAAAGCGAAGTCTTGGATGTATATCAGTGGTTTTTTGTCAAAACGAGACACGTAAAATCGTCGTACAGTTCGACAATATTTCGGCCTTAAGGAAAATAATGGGCTACTCGTAGTCATCGCTTAACCCTTCACTTCTTAGGAGTCATTAGCGTCCAATTTCTCCTTAAAATATCACTGCAAATCTAACCTTCATGTTTTGAGAATAAATGAAATGATGAGCAAGTGAAAATGTTATTGATTGTTTAGCAAAATCTCCTCACCATTACCATAAGAAATATTTGGGTACAGTATGGAGAATATACATGTTATGTTAGTGTAAAAAGGTTAAACTGTACAGGGAAAGCATTGTAAGCACATTACCTTTTTTGCAAAGTTCGTTAGTACATTTGAACGCCTTGTTATTGTCGGTCTCAGCGATGGACAAATACAAATCGTTTCATATTTATATACTAGCAGAAAACAGCAACATGTCGCAAACATAATAATCTGATTAAGTAACTTCATCTTATTGGGAGTTTGTTTATGGTTTTTAACCTTTACAGACAATACAACGTTTCCACTCTGCTAGGGGTTATAGAGTAGTGCCATGTCGTGAATGGTTGAGTGATAATATTATTGTTTAATGCAGCTTAAAAGATTGATTGCTCAACTTCAGAAGTGGAAAAAGGAGTTTCAGAAAATTGTGAAGTAAGTAAAAGTTACTAGACTTCCGCTTTATTTCCAACGAAAAGAAATGATGTTGATGATGATGATGATGACAGGAGCTTATAACCGGGAGCGAGCAACGTCCATGCGCTCGTGTCACGGCGTTTTCACGGACCAGTTTATTTTTAGAACGACTTTGGCGTGAATTTTCAATATCTTTTAAATTCCACGAACGAATCAGCAAAACCTACAGACCTAAAAAATTTTTTTTTTTTGCCTTTTAATGAGGTTTAGTTTTTTTTTTGGATATCTTATACTTTGATTGCGCTCACAGACATGATGGAGGCCTATGTTTGCGGGAGAAAGTGCCCTAAAATGTGGCGTAGTGTGGGAGTTGCTCGCTCCGGGTTATGGGCTCCTGTGATGATGATGACGATGGTGATAGTAAAGGTGGTGATGGTGATCATGATGCTTAATTACAGACAGGACCAGTACTTAGGGTCAGGAAATAATCAAGGGCTCGACCTCGGTAATGTCGGCCTGTCAAGAAAAGGACCACGTACATTAGTGTATCAGGCCTTTGATACTTATTGATGTCACATGTCTAAATAAAGTTGATTGGTTCTCTGTTTGTTGTGGCTCGGTTTGGCCCGGCTTAGATGATCACGCAAAAGTGGCGGTCCTTTCTGCAGTAGGCAAAGTCAAACCTTGTCCGCAATTGGTACTTCACACTAAATACATTTACACTAAAAGAAATATATTGAATTTTTAAGGTTTTTGAGATGCACTGGTAATTTTTGTCCATATTTTGGTTTCTTTGTTGTTGTACAGTTATGATGATGGTAGCGTTCGACCTCCCGATGGACAGTTAACCAAAAATCTGTTTGAAGACCTCAAAACATGGGAGGAGACGTTAAATCAAGAGGCAGAGCATTTTACAGGAGAAACGCTACTGTCTCGTGAAGAAGAGTTGTATCAGATGAACAAAGAAGTGGATGGGTGGACCGATGTGGCACTCAGGGTAAAGAGCAGCAAGTTTATTAAGTAAACAACTAGGCCTCATGTGTTCAAAAACTCGACAGTGCTATCCACCTGATAAATTACTACTGCTAGTGGATAAGTATTAGGGAAACAGATCGCACCATCCACTGGGTAAAGAGTGATTTATCCGGTGGATAGTGTTATGCACCTTTTGAACAACTGGGGCCAGAAGTATACGTCAGAGGAAGGGGACTAGGGTAGTATAGGTTCTAAGGTGACTGACAATAAGTAGGCAAACAAACAATTGAACATCCATCTGTGTGATTGGACACGCTGTTGTCATATCACAGTGTCAAAACTGTCTGAGTATCAGCGGCCAAAAGTTGCAGGGAAAACAAGCGCCTACTTGCAAGTATAGCCATCGCTGGTTAGTTTAGTTGATAGAGCGCTGGTCTGTTGAAAAGGAGGCTGCGGGTTCGACCAAATACCATCCAGGGTGAAAGAAAAAGCCGGGGGGAGCACGCTGGGTGTCGGTTAGCCTTTCTCTCAGTTCAGGTGGCCTCGTTATTGGGCGGTGACTTTAGGTATTCACCCTCGACTCTGATGTCTCCTTACCAAAACGATGTGGTTTTTCAGGTATTTAGCCGTCATCAGTCGCAGGATGGAACAAGATGGCCACAACATGAGGTCATGTTACAGCTAAATGCTGAAGTAGACAGACTACAACAGCAGTATCACGTGAGAATAATCGGTGAAAACGGTGTCGCCAAAGGGATCATTGACCTTGTTAATCCACTAGAAACATGGTAGGCAACTTTGTTTTACTTTTGTTTGTTGATTGGTTTTTGTAATGTTAAATGGCACCCAGCGCATTGTTTTCTGTCAAGTGAATAAATATGAAAGAATGAATTAATTAACTTAGTTTATACTCTGTAATAATTTCAGCATGCAGTTGGATTTCAAACTAGCCGTTAACCTTTGTAATCTTGTATAAGAAACTAAACTGTTTATAAACAAATAATAATATGTAGATACCTTGTTATGTTAACTACAAAAAAATCTGATCTAATTTGATTAATTTTTAGGGTTGTCATTTCTCAAAAACCCTCTTAAACTATCTGATGTCTTCCAACATGATTTGAAAGTGCATTCCAATGCTATTTCCCCGCTATGAGCAAATGATGTTTTTAACGAGTTCTTTTAGGTGTGGGCAACTGCTTGTCGAACCCACATGTTACCTCAACTGTCTGAGATGCCCCACCTCCATTTTGAACTGGACCTCAGAGGTCAGATTATGAAGCACAGTTAAATATTTTGATATTTCTTATTTTGCCCACGGAATTTCAAACGCGTGCGCCCTCGATATTTCTCCTTTCGCCCTTAAAAACAGGCGCTTGCTATGCAGGCTTGGTAATTGCTAAGAACGTAAATAACCAAAACAAACAAAGCTTCAACGACCAAATTGTCGTGACAGGGTCCTTCTATTTTCCTACCAATATCTATAGGGGAAACAAACTGAACACTGTTCTCAATGGAGGTGAAATGCTGCTGGACACGGACTGGATACGACTCGCGGATCAGGTCAGTGAAGAGTGGGCTGATCACCTGACCGAAACTCTCGGTCTGATTGGCTCAACACAAAAGGAAAGTGCACGCTTGAGTGGTGAGGTAGAAAACCCAGTAGACGTGGAAGACGTGTTTAAAAACACAGTCAAATGGCTGTCTGCTACGACGAACAGCATTGATAACGAAGACGCGAAAATTGTGGAAAGAGTAAGTGATGCGTTTCAGATGTTTGCCTTTTTTTATAGCCAGACTGATTAAGGAGAAATTAAATCTAGTTGGAAACTTTTGAATCTATGCTTTAACTGAAAACTCCAGGACAGCTCGTTTTGCACGATACCGTTACATTTTTAGACTTTTGCAAAATTAATATTGTCAATAGTTTTTCTTGAGATATGATCACTCTCGGGAATAACAAAGTTAGAAAATTAAAATTATACAAAAATGAAATAGAAGAAGAGAAAATTTACTTAAAATTTACTTTCTCTCAAAATTGTTTGTATAGAACTTCCATGTAACGAATCTTCGTTATGGCGAAAATATTTTGCCTTTCTTTATAGCCTACCCTGCGAGCAGAGGCTACATTTTCGCTGTGTGAGCTGTCGTGCGAAAAATAGCCTCTGCCGACAACCGTTCAATTTTCTATCGTGCATGCGCAAAATTCGTCACGCGATTCGCAAGCAAAATTAATCGTCAGGTCTGTCGTCAAACGGCGCGAGTTTCGCGGGAATAAAAAAATTGCGACAACTCTGATCTGCTACGCAGTAAGACTCACGCAATGCTCTAAACCGGTCAAGAACAGGAAAAAACCCGTTTTTTAATTAATTCGTCCAGATTTCTGGACGGATTTGAACAGTTAACGGCAGAGGCTACTTTTCGCACGCCAGCTCACACAGCGAAAATGTTGCCTCTGCTCACAGGGTACTTATAGCCATTTGTTACATCGAGGTTCCACTGCAACTGCATATATTCCTCAGCTTGTTGTACTCTGTAATTTCAGGTCACACAGGTACATAGCGCCATGATCCGGTGGATGATCACCGTTCTTCTTCGTCTGACCCCAGATATGGAGGACAAGGAATTGGAAGAAATAGACAAACAGACTGGCGACCAAGAAGTGGACGCGTCGCTGGGGGGAGGGGAGATCCTGCTTCAGGCCATACCTGAAGAGATCTGTAACAGAGCGCAGAGGCTGTTTGAACAGCTCAGAGTGTTTTCGGTCCTTTTGACAAAATGCTGTTCTGATCTGGTTATTGACTTAATGCAGGTGGGTTACATACGTAATACATTGTTACATAGCAGAAATTCCATCCTGAACAGTTCACCCTCTCATAGGCTACTGAGATCACATGACATCGAACAATGAAACAATTTCCCGACTTAAGTCCTCAAGCGGGGAACATCTCATTTTTTTCCGTAAAGTGAGTTCGTTTATTGGCTATTGGCGATCACATGATATTTGACAATGACATCACTTCCCTGCTAGTCTTCAAGCGAGCAACATCTCAAAAAGCGTGCAATCTCATTGGCTACCTCGAGGTCACATGAAATCTAACATTAGGCTATCAACTGTATATGAAATAAAGATTTTCAAATGATGAGTTTTCGACTCTGGTCTTTCCTCAGAGCGATTAAGAAATTGGTGATCATCTGCGTGGTTCGTGAAAGTCCTTCATATATCTGTTACTGGAGATACACTATTTGAGGAACTTCTGGTATCCAAGCCGAACGAAACGAAAAAAAAAAAGATTTGTTGAATCGAAAGCGTTCCTTGATCTTGGTGATATGTTACGCCATTAACCTTGGCGTGCTGTCATGTTCCCTCCCAGTTTACACCCTCAATGCCGTGCTTATGCAGAGATTTGCAACAGAGGTTAACAGTTTCATACACTTAACTTGTGCACTCATTTCGTACTTCGTTTTTAGGAACGGCGAGATCAGGGTGATGAACACGCGGATATGGATTTCAAAGATCTTAAGCGCCTGTCTGTAGAATGCGAGGGGTGGATACGAACAGCTGGCCTGCTTATTCAAGACGTTATGGGCGACGACTTTGTTTTCCAGGATCTGTCCGCTGGTAAGAAGGAAAAGGGACCCGACAGAGCGGTCTCCACTGACTCTAAAGCTACTGGTGGAGAGGTAATTTTCATTTTGGTGTGTCAGTCTTGTCTACGTATATTGTAAACAGAACCTTTTTTTTGTTCTTTTCATTTTGCGCTGAAAATCGATGAAGTCACTCTCGTTCGATTGCGAATCCTCAATCTTGGAGTTTGGGGCGAACGAAACTATCGGAGCAGATGATTTACTTTTGCTATGAAGACTGATTTTCAGCGCATAAGAAATAGAGGGGCTAATTTCTCAACCCAGTACTCTTGTGACAGTAAAATCTAATGAAATATTTCAGTGCTTACAGTAACCCCCATTCATAATACTTTATGAAGACTACCTCGGAGACAGCCTGGACAAGTGGTGAGACAGCGCTTCGGACTTTGACCACTTGCTGCCGGGATTTGTTCACGGTAGTCCTGAGTTCAAATCCTCTTGCGCGGTTGTAAACAGCCATGCAACTGCTTGCCTTCTGCCAGTTAAGCTTTGAATCCTGTAATGTGCTATTTGGATTATTTGTTTCTAATTATTTGAATGAGTGTCTGCAAATTGGCTAGTTAGGCAAGTTGTATTTCCCACTATAGACAAACCTTCAACCTTCTTAACCTTACTGAAATATGGTATTATCTTAGGGCTGCATTTAGTTTGTCTATTAGTCGCTAACAGACTCCAGTTTTACGATATAAGGTTAATGGGAAGCGGGTAAGAAGAATGATGCTTACCTTTCTAAGTAGTGTTTGTGATGGAGTAAACTGAACCTTATTTTCCAAACAGTCACAAGATGAAGACATCAAACAACCGGAAAATGCCGAGCAAACAGATCAACAAGCTATAGCCACTGAACATCAGGAACATGAAAAACCGGAAGTCAAAACTGTAATGCCAGAAGACTCTGGGAGAGTAGATGCCCCTAAAAAGCCTGCCGAGGAATCCCATGTGACCGCGCCTACTATTGAAACGAGTCACCCAGAAGCAAAAGAGGAGACTGGAGAAAGGCCTGAAGAAGGGAGCGAAGTTGAGGCTAGAGACCAAGAGCAAGATGAGTCCCGGATGCATGTACTGGGACATGACGATAATATAAGGACCATGTCCCTGGAGGAGCTACCTGCAGACCAAGTAAGTTGAAGCTATGATATTATGGACCATCTCCCCCCACCTGTAGTCACTATGGCCTAATGAAGGTGTGGTCAACACTTTGTTGTGAAAAAAGATAAGACGGTAATTTTGAAATGATTTCTTTATTAGATAATTCACTTGATGAGTTCACGATGCAGTTGAAACTCTCCACAACGGCCGCCTTGGGACAGAAGAAAGTGGCCATTGTAGAGAGGTTTAAACAAGAGTCAATGTATGGACTGTCCGCCAAAATAGTGGCCGTTGTAGAGAGGTGGCCGTTAGTGGAAGTTCGACTGTACCATTGTTAAAACATTTCCCTTTTCTTTTTTTTATTGCGTGTAGTTGCAATTCTAGCAAATAAAGTGAACTCTGAATCTCAACAAACGGCTACCTTCAAGTTTCAAGTTTATTATTTTGCCACAATACAGAACATTAAGTACCTAAATAAAAAATCTCCTGCATGGCGAGAAAATCCTAGGGAAACCACTGGGCCGCTCAATTAATTATTTTAACGAAACATTAACCTTTGGTTAGTTTCTGCCTTCCTTCAGCCATTTTTCTCTTGCCTCTCTATAACGAGGACATCTTTCTATTACGGCCACTTAGGACTGGTCCCAGTGGTGGCCATCATAAAGGGAGTTGACGGCAGAACCAAATAGCAGCCCCGCTTTAATTTATTATTCACACCTCAATATTACAACAGAATCAGATAATTCAAACGAAACACTTCTCTGTTTTGTAGGAACTGGAACATCTCACTGTGCCCGAAGGGGAAAACCAGCAACCTGGTAAGTCTTGGAGTTTGCCATCGTTTAAGGCATGCACGTTTGCCCCTTTTTTGCTTCAGTAAACCGCCTTATCTCTGCTCTGTCGAAGAAAAGTGATTTCTTCTTATGTTTTTGTTTTGTTGTGTGTTTTTTTTAGCGCGCTCACCGTCCCCCGACACTAAAAAAGCCCTGGAAGCTTTAGCTGCGGTGGAAAGACTTCAGGCCCAACTGCTGTAAGTACCTTTTCTTTACTTATGAAAGTAAAGACGCAAAATCCGTGAGCCACTGGATGAGTTTTTAATAATTAAACTCATTTTATGTAAAACTGTTCAGTTATCATGGTGAGAAAAAGTCTGTTATAAGTGCTATCTTTTTTTCCTTTTTTGCGCGAGACGAGGGGAGGAGAAAAGATAAAGCGTCTATTACCATTCCATTGTTCTGGCTCTTTCGCCCACCTATACGTACACAAAAATTGACTGACGGCGGTCATCAAAAGGACCAATCAAAGCACTATCCATTATTCGCGCGAAACTTGTAACCTTTCTGGCTACCAGGAACACCTACAATAGCATAAACCACAGGAAATGATAAATCTATTAGTGCATGAAACACCTCTAATGTAAGACTCGGTGCAGCAAAAATAAGATATGCTCAGACAAAGTTTAGTTTATATTCAAACACAGCGGCGAGAGAGAAAAGAGGGAAAAACCTGTTGTTCAAATAAACTCTAAGGTCACGTTTTACATTGCCACATGCTTATGAGTCGTGTTTGGCCCGTCAACTCTTTATTTCAAAATGGTGGTAAATCAGGTTTTTTCCAAACCCAGTTGGAAGCAATCGAATAACATCCTTCCTCTTTAGCAGTAAATGTAAACATTTCTTTTTTTTTCCTGGAGCATTTTAGAAATAAGCGAAGAGCTTCTTAAACAGCATCATCAAAAGAACATGACTGCGTGACGGCAATTTTGTTCCAGACAAACATGCTAGAATTTCACAGAACAACGCGTCATCAATTAACCAATTGGAACGCGACGTTCATGTAGTGAACGTGGGAAGAGTAAGAACAACAGGCTGGTAACAGGCGCTTTGACTTTTTCTCTAATTGGCTCATAAAGCGCCTGTTGTGCAGGCTAATAACTGGTTTTCTTTTCCAATTTTAGAGAGACAGAAGAACGAGCACAGATGGCAGAGGAGAGAGCCATTCAAGCCGAAACAGAGCTAAAGCAAGCTCTAGAAAAAATCCGAGCCCTTGAGCGGTCAGCGTCTCGCGCCAGTGCTGGAGAATCTCAAACGCCTGCAGAAAGACCGGTCAGCACCAGCATGTCAAAGCGAGCACCCTCTCAGGCGTCTACTGCGCAGCCCCATTCTCCCCAGCCGCCACGCACTCCATCCCAGCAATCATCACGGCCTTCAACTCGCGCATCAACAAAGAAAAAATAAATAGTGGAGTGCGCTATTAAAAGAAACCTTTGTAAATAGATTTAATGTGGAGAGAGAGATCTGCTGTGAATGTTGTGCTAGTTTGTTTGTAGTGCTTAAAGAAGAATTTTAAAAAAGAACGGTACATATTTATTTTTTATACTATATAGGGATTAAAACGATGTTGTACATTGCTTGAGAAACATTAGTTCACCCTATTATTCTCGCTGTAATCTTCTCTCTATAAATACTGCGTAGGGCATGAAACCAAAAAAAAATAACAAGCTTTTTACTCAACTGATCTTCATCAACAAAATCGATGAGCTCATCATAGGTCATCATATTTGTTATTAAATTCATAACCGGCCACAGTATCCCCTTCACGAACGCAAAGGAGGGCAATTAGCGTTTTATGTCTTTCAGAGTTGGAAGTCTTTTTTTTTTACCCTGGCAGGGCCGTAGCCAGGAAGAAACTACAACCGAGGCGAACACACGGTCCGTTGTACGAAATTAGCCGTATGAAATCTTCTAATATTATCAGTCTGATAAAAAAAATTAAAAATCGACAGTATTTGGTAAAATTTTACCGAGGCGAGTGCCTCGGTTCGCCTCATACTGGCTACGGCGGTGCCTGGTAAAAGACTGGAATAAAGTTGGGCGAAGTGTCCGCAACTAGAAGTATACGTTCTGAATTGGAACGTACATTTCAAGAAAGGTGAAGTCTCTCTGTCAGGAGAGGCAGTAAACGGGAAGCTAAAAATCCTTCAAAATCGCTCAAAATACCACTTCTGAGGGAAAGAACGACACTTAACTGTGTAGGCTAGATAACGTCTAATTAACATTAATCCATACACATTTTAGCGATATTTCGATACAGATGAAGCAAACAGTAAAGTCATCAGCACATGTGTGCAATGAAATTACAACAAATTGTGTAGGTACCGTGTGCTGAGCCCCCAGCAGTGAAACTATGCCAAACTCCCTCAAGGGTACCCTCAGTTTTCCTTACCTTGACCCAATAGCCCAAGTTCGATATATTAAAACTCTAACATGAATCCGAGTCTTTCTGGTCATTTTTATATATTTGGTTTGGTTTTCTTTGTGCTTAATTCTCTTCTGGGAGTTGGTAGACAATATGGAGTGGTGAAAAGTTTGCAATTTTGAGCCTAAAGCCTGGGAGTCATGTTAGAATTTTAATATATCGAACGTGGGCTATTGGTATCATCTTAGGTAGGCCCTCAACCTCAAGTGGCGTTCGAGTTTTTATGGATCTTCTTGGGTCCTTACTATTGGAATGAAATATCTGTCCTTCAAGGCCTGACCTACATGCTTGCTCATATGGGCGCTGGGATTCCCGTGGGTACCCCCGCTGTAACAAAAAAATTACTCTTCGTGTCCCGCTTAGTAAGCAGACGTCGTTTTCTCGGAAAGGGGAAGCCTGAGAGGTGCGAAACTCAAAGTGCCCTTAATTTCGTCCGTTCCAAGTCGATCTTACCTGCTTACAACTTGAAGGGAGAATCAGAGGACAGATCACTCCAGGAGATCACTTACGTAGAGTGCAATTACGAGTATTTTCCCGAATGTCTCAAGCAAAGCAAGTCAACAACAAAGTTCAGGTAAACAAAGTACAGACTCAAATATACTTTAAAATACATAATGTTATATGAAATTTACAGGAACATATTTTAGCTGCTTATTCTTTTTGCTAATAATGATTTCAAAGCCAGAGGTTTCTTGTCTTTTCATTGTCGTAATTTTCTGCCTTTAGTTTGTTCCAAAGTATGTAAACAACGTTGCATGAAACGCAAGATATGATATTTTGGAAGCCATCTTGTCGAGCACGCAACCGGGTGATGTTGTGTTTGTATGAGAATGTCATGTCGAATGCTGATTTCCGTACGAAAACTACTGTTCTGAAGAAAATGTGAATTCTAAATTGAAGCTTCACTCCTAACGAATTAACTGAAGAGATTGAAGGGAGTTAGATAGATAGATAGATAGATACATAGATACATAGATACATAGATACATAGATAGATAGATAGATAGATAATCTTTATTTATCCACGGTACAAAATTCGTCAGCTTTAAAAATGCCTAATACTAATATAATAAAAATATTTAAATAAAAAGCTGCTTTCCACGAATGCCGTGCCTTACAGTTCTTTGAGTAATCGTTTAAATTGCCCAAGGGACTCTGCTTCCCTTAAGTTACAAGGAAGACTGTTCCAGAGAATGGCGCCACTATAGCTGAAGCTGTTTTTGTAATAGTTTGTGCGCAGTAATGGAACATTGAGTTTATTTTCAGAGTCCCTTAGGTTATATGTGACTTCTCGCCTTTCAAATTTAGAACTAAGATAGTTTGGAGCCAACCCGTGCAGAGACCTGTAAACCATTGTAGCTCTTTGAAATTGTTGCTGGCAAGCTAGGTTTTTCCACCCTAGAAGTTTGAAAAGGCGACCAGCATCTACGTCATAGCTTGAGTAGGTCAAAACATGGGCTGCTCTGTTTTGTAGCTACATGCAAAACATTTTTTTAAATTTTCTATAAATTTACATTTGTCTGTAAAAAAATATCTTCCTGCCGCCTAAAATTTCCAGGGAAAAATTGCAGACAAACAAAATGGAAAATCTAAAGCAAGCGTCTGGTTAAGCACAGGTACGGCCCCCCAAAATTTGTTAGAAAAATCCTTTGCTGTGTAGCTTTAGTTTACGATTCATATATTTTTTTCAAAACAGCCGTTTTACGGAACTCAGTCTTCGACATCAGATTCTCATGCAAACACTGTAATTTCTCACGCGATTGCCTACTCGTCAAGATGGCTTGGAAAACCGTGCTTGGCAAGGTCTATTTTACACTGCTTGCATTAAAAACAAAGCTTTAACGCAACTCCGATCCAGCCATTACGCTCTTTTAACATTTTAACCATTCTGTTGTTCTTTTCAAGTAACAACGTATGCATTGCAATGTCTGAAAAGTGGGTTGCAGCTTTGTTTGAACACTGGGAGGGTCCGAAGCGGGGGGAAAACAATAGCACTCCGGCCAACACTGTTGGAATCCTCCCTAGCCACCAACATTCCCATTTCGTCTTCCATTCTTCTCCATTAGAGCTGGAAGGAATGTCGTTGTAGTTTGGATGTGAGTCGTGTGTTAGGTTTAGGGAGTGTTTGGTTTTGCGTGGCAAGTGGCATTTTGTAATGTAATTTTAATATCTGCATAACCCCCTCTGAGGGCAGCAGTAAATTTTAGATATGGGTTTTGACCCATTTTGGTACAATGTAGCTGTGTTTTACGTTGAATCTATACCTTGCTTGTTAGATCAGTCCTTACACTTTTATATACCTCTCGCCTGATAAAGTGAAATAACCCCTTTTGGGAGAAGCATCCTCATAAAGTCCATTGAAGGGGGTACTCCTCCTCTGTGGCCGGAAGATGACATTGTTTAGGGATATGTACAGTCTGTACAAGACAAGGCCAAACACTTCCCAGTGAGAGAGAAATGATAGAGGTGCCAATTATCATAGAAAGTTAATTGCCTCATGCAGGGTAATCCAAGACAGTCTTGGATTCTGGATTCCACGGTGTGGATTCCCGAATCCAGGTACTCAATCCCACATTCCTTGTTGGTGGATACTGAATTCCAGGTTCCAATCATTAGTGGGATTTCGGATTCCTGGAGCTGTATTCTGGATTCAAAAGCCAGTAGCTTCCTGGATTCCAAAGGCAAAACGTTCCTTGACTTGGGAATCTGGATTAACCTTCATGAGGCGAGGAAGAAGAATTGCTTAAATCTAAATTCAATGGCTGTCTATAGAGTTGCTGACATAGCTGTTGGGAGACATCGGACTATTTGTTTTTCCAGTTTATCACCTTATTATCATCTCATAATCATCACCATTCAAAATTACTAGTGTTGTTGCCAATATAGTAGTGTTGTTTTGTGCCTCTTAGAAGCTGCACCCGTATAAGATGTTGGTACCTAATTCTGGGTGTAATGTTTGTAATTTTTAGATGAGCAAACCATCTTTTTTACTCACTAAAGTTTTTAGGATAGTCACCGCCTGGGGGATTGGCTGCATCTACATTGTTCTTATTATTCTACCAAAGCAAAGTGTAACTTTATAAATTATGAACCTCTCCGGTTCCTCTTTAATTCTGCCATTGATTGCAGATATTGTTGAAACCAAATTTCTAGCCCGCTAATAAATTGGTAATAATAGCGGAGCCTCCGCGTGCGCGAAGCGCGGATCTCCATACTTCAGAGAAAATGGTAAACTATCCATCCGAGAAAATTAGATTAGATCGAGAAAAGAGGAGCTCTAAATTTAATCTTTCCTAAGCTTTCTTCGCAAAACATGAGTGGCTTCGATCACGCAACGATTCTTAGTCCCAGTTTCCATGACCTCTGCAAGGAACGCCTGGCACATTGACCCCCGGTTTGTGTACAAAATACGACTAAAAAGCCCGGGGAGTACTTCCAGAAAAAATTTAATGGGGGTGTGCGGCACGCTTCCTGAAACCCTTACCTTATTTCAGACCAAAATCTGTGATTTTCCCTACCCTATTTCAGACCTGATCAAAAATTTGATACCCTATTTCAGACTTGAAGCCCTGGAACCCGGCGCGTGACCGGAGCGCGTGACAAGCTGTTACGGCACGTACATGGTTGGCGTAAACATTAAAAGGGAAATGGTCTTATCGCCAAATGAGGAGGCAGTAGCTTCTTCTAAAAAACATACCCAATTCAAGACTAGAGTGCACAAACCATACCCTATTTCAGACCAAAATGGACGAAATTGAAACCCTATTTCAGACCAAAACGGCTAAAACAAAAATACCCTTTGGCGCCGCACCTACCTATATGGCCTATTTAAGGGAGTACCCCCCAGGGCGAAAACACGTTGCAGATTATGAGTCTCGCTGCTTACCCAAGCGAGACTAATAACTTGTTATCCTCTTTTAAATTCGTTGTACTGTGTTTTGTTTGCGCAGACTTTGTCTTCGGTCGAAGTGCTTGAATGCTCTGTCTGTTACGAACGATATGATGATAACAAGCGGTGTCCACGGCTACTTAGTAATTGCGGTCACACATTCTGCACCTACTGCCTGGAGCAGCTCTTGAAGAATGGAACCATTACTTGTCCTCAGGATAGGAAAGATGTCGCCGTCAGCGCTGGAGTCGGTGGACTGCCCAAAAACTTTGCCCTTCTCGACGTGCTGCTCGCCAACTCAAATAAACGGTCAGACACCCCTGTTAAGTGTGATACTTGTGGGGAAGAGGGACATCTGGCCACCTCATTCTGTTTGGAGTGCAAGGAGAATATGTGTGACGTAGCAGCACAGTTTCACACCCGCCTCAAACTGAGCCGCGACCACCGTGTCGTATCAATTGCGGAGCTGAAGGCCAATCCCCACCTGGCTGCTATCCCAGTATTCTGTTCAGAACACAACGAACCTTTCCGCTACTTCGACACTGACTGTGGGCAAGTCATCTGTAGGGACTGCTTCGCCTTGAAGCATAACGGCCACAAGTGCTGTTCCCTCGCCGAAGCTTCCGCCCAGAGCAGACAAGAGTTGGAAGCTCTTGCCTCCAAAGCTAGAGCAATTGCTGCAAAATTGAAAGAGGCAGAGAACCGTGCGATGACCATCGTGAGTGACCTGAACTGGAAAAAGAACCTTGAAGAAGCAAGGATTCACGCGTTTTTTGAAGAAGTTAGTGCTTTTCTTTTTTTATGGTCATGACATGATCATTATAGCCTACGCTGCAGCCGGCCCATGGGTCGCCTAAATATTCGGGCGGAACAGATTATTATTTCTTGCAGTTCGTCGTTTACCGGTTTTTATTATATGACTACAAAAGTGCGTCCGCTCTGATTGGCTGATGAGCGGGAATGTACAATCTGTGTTTAAATTGTTAATGAACATCCATGTTATGGTCAATTGACAGAGTGATAACTGCCAGATAGGCTATTCCCTGACCCTGAGTGTCACATACCTGTGTCTCGGGCTCAAGTGTACAACTCGTTGAGGTAATTTGTTTTTTAAAGTTATCCGCTGACCCGTTATTAGTTTTTAATTGACGCAAGCTAGGGGCCAAAATTTCTCAATGTTGAAGTAACTGTGTCTTGTGGTTTCGATATCATCACCAGGTTCGTTTCGGTTCAGTGAACACGACGTCGAATGACCCCTTGCGCACGGGTGTTTAAAATTACTCCCAGTGTTTTTTATTATTATTGTATAATCAGGAGACTCCTGACTGTATTCATTTTAAGAATAGCTCTAAAAGGGCCATATAATAAATAACTTATTAACCTCGTCCGTTCGGTCATTACAGGGAAATCTAAGACCTCGCTACATCAAGGCCTTGGCCTGAGATTTCTCTGTAATGACCTCACTCTCGGTGAATAAGTAGAATATAACGAACCGTGTAAATGACCAGCTCCCAATCGTTTAGTTGAGCGCTATACCACCATCGCAGAGGCCAAGGGTTGGAATCCCGAGCGAGCCTGAATGCTTAAGGATTCCTATTCAGTGGCAAAAGCTGCCACTATAACGGTGATGACCTTCTTCGCATTTGATTCTTCATCCCGCAATTTTAATGATATTCATATAATCATTATTTTCATATTCTCTTATGTTAAAGCTTCATGCCGCCTTGGAATCCCGGGAACAAGCCCTTGTAATGGAGTTGAGTCAGGTTCACAAAGCCAAGTCGTTCACCTTGACGGAACAATGTGACCTTCTTCGTACCTTCCAAGCCTGCTTGTTGAGTGCCGTTGACCGAGCAGTAACCGCTATCCAATCGGCAGGTGACGTCCATCTACTTGTCGCCAAATCCGACATCGCCACGACGTTGCTGGCCATGGGGAGCCAGGCACCCGTCCAGGAGCCACAAGCAGATTCTGCACTGGAGTTCTGCATAGGTACCAGTCGCTTATTGGGCGTGCTTGGCGAAACAGGGCGTGTAACTGACAAGTCTACTTGCGCTGATTTTACTGGTGCTGCTGGACCGGGACTGGAAGAGGCATACATTGGCCGGGAAGCATCCTTTATCATTACTGCACGCGACCACCAAGGCACTCTGCGTTCTGCAGGTGGCGATTCTTTTGTGGTTGAGCTCAAGGGAGAAAAAGGCGAAAATGTGGAAGTCAAGATAGCCGACGAAAAGAGTGGCAAGTACTCCGCGACCTATATTCTCCCTGTAGATATCAAGGGCGAGCTTCAGCTGTCTGTATGGTTTCACGGAACTCATATCCAAGGTAGTCCGTATCGTGTTCGAACTGGTGGAGTTCTGCACTATATTGGTGTTGCCGATTGGATGCAGAGTAAGCAGCCATACCAGGAACAGTGGAGGCTGATGGACGAGGCTTGTGCAGCTCTCCCTAGAGCTCCTCCTGGCAGCCGTGCGGCAACATGTCAAGAGTATGTAGAGGGGAAAATAGAAGGCTTGCCGCGGATTGCTCCTGGTAACGTTTTTTTTACAGGACCTGGTAGTGAAGGTAGAAAAGACGGAAACCATTGTATGAAAGGAGTCCATTGCGGAAGGGCCCTTGAAGGCCAGTTTTCAGCCGACAGTTTTCATACAGGCATGCGACAAGCGATCTGTGTCGCATACAAGTAAACGAGAAGCTTCATCCGTTAATACAGTATTGTTAATGAATTTGATAGTACAATGTCTGCACATTATGCAATCTTTGTTACCCTGGTCCCAGTATGTTGATCTTAGAGGGTTTTCTTGAAAACTTTTTCCGCCTCAGAAGGAACGATCTGCGCGAGGTGCGAAAACGAGTCGCGAAGCGCGGTGGAAGAGAAAATCCTCCGGTTGCCTGGACTTGAATTGAATCCCTTTTCCATACAGACTACAGCTGTCAAACGCGTCAAACTGGTAATTACAAAAGTGACCATTGGCATTTTAGCAATCACGTGCTTATCAGGCGCTGTTTGTTTCTAGCAGGGTAGACCCAGGGAAATTGTTCGTATGAACAATAAATTTCCACTTGGGTGGTAAAAATGATTACAATTACCACTTGAACTCACGGGCGTGTTATTTGCGAGACTGATGTTTCCCGACAATTAACACGCTCTTCGATGGTAACCAGCAACTGAAATATTGATCGAAAGTCCAGAAAGAACAGAATCCATGTCAAACACAAGGAAAAATTTACCTCACAAAATGCAGTGAAAGACATCCTCGCTGTCCCTTCGCGCGGTTCAATCTCTCTCACGCGGGAAAAAGTTTAAGGAAAACCTCTGGGACCAAGGTAACTCTCTGTTAACTTTATAATAAAATTCTAAAAGTGCATTTTTAACTTCCTAGTATTAGAACCACCATCGCTTTTGTGCAGTATTAAAGTGTTGCACAGAAAAGTAATCATGATGTTATTCTTCTTTCAACGATTTATGCATGAGAAACGTAAGGAGACATTTTTGTTTCTCGGGGTGAGGGGGTGTGGAGGGGGTGAACACCATGCGTCTCGCGCAAACTGTACTGCAATGCTGCAAAAAAAGAATTTCGAAAAGGTTGCCCCCAAAAATGTCGATACAGTAAGCGTTTCATACTTTCTCATTTTTATTCAGAATACTGTTAGATATTGTGCACACTTTTGCAGTTGAACCTCTCTACAACGGCCACCTTGAGGGCAGAAGAAAGTGGCCGTTGTTGAGAGGTTTTGAACAAGAGTCAATTTATAAATTTTTGGCCGCCGGGACGAAAAAAAGTGGCCGTTGTAGAGAGTTGGTGCATCTTACATGATACTTTAAACTTTCCTCGATAGCGCAAGTGCGTACAAAAGCACGGTATCTATGTTCTCGATGGGGCATCGATAAAAACAAACAAGACTGGAAGTTACTACTTTCTAGCGCCGCCGAAATAAGTTTCCGAAACTGAACCATGACTTTTTCTCGAAATTGCCCACTGTTAACTGTCAAATGGTGGGAAAAAGGAATTCCATTGCTATGCAAAATACCTGATTTGCTCATTGGCACTTTATCGACAGGTATACCTAGTATATAGTTGAGATAGTTGGAAAGGGTATGAAATAAAAAGTTGTCAGGGCTTTCGAATCACACAGCCCTGTGTTTTTTTTGCGTCATTTTGTAGGACACGCTTGAGACGTCAAGAATAACTTTTAAATCTGCCGAGGAAATACTATCCGTTCAAATTATATCTCATTGACATGGATTTTAATTTGCATGGTAATTATTTCTATTTAACAAGAGAAAATGTCATTCAGTTTTTTTAAGGTAAATTTGTGTTTTGCTTTGACAACTGTTGGGAAATGCGAATGAAAGGGGTTAATCCGCTATTTGACGGACGCCGCTTTGTCAGCATGGTGGAGTAACAGCTTCTATCTTTCATTTATTTAACATGATCAACTTTTAGGCACGTTGAAGCTTGGTGCTGTTACTCCAAGGCTACTCATAACAAAAGAGTTGTTATCAACCTGCACAATTTATATGCGCAGGATGGAAATTATCTGATGGGGCTTGTTGTTATTGTTTTTTTTCGTACTATTTCATCATATCCGATGGAACTGTAGGTGTTTGCCGAGGGTGAAGTTTTATTCATGAGGACACTGTATAACAAGTACAGTCAGCTCTCTTCAAAAAGGACACCTTTGGGACTGGCACTAAGTTTCCGTTTTAGAGAGATGTCTATCTTATAGACAGTCAAATAGGACGGACACCTAGAGTTGCTTTCTGCCTTCCATTACGGTCAAATCTCTCTAAGACAGACACCTTTGGGAGCGGCACGAAGTGTCCGTCTAGAGAAATGTCCGTCTTACAGAGATTAAAACCGTTTAAGCGTGGCGCTTGTTTTCCCCATAGTTTTTGGCTACAAGGATGCTGAGTTTGCTTTTTTCTTCAAAGCAGCAACAAAGAAAACAACGAAATTGGAGTTTGTTAGCACTGTCTTTTAAAATAAATGTTGTGCCCATTATCCTTCAGGCTCCGGTTGTTCAAACGTTGGATAGCTCTATCCACCGGATAAATCGCTATCCAACGGATAAGTATTAGGGAAATCAATTGTGTTATCTACTGGATAGTGATTTATCCATCGGATAGCGATATCCATCTATTGAACAACTGGGGCCTGTGCTTCGGTGAAAAAGAGTTTAACTCGGTGGTAAACCCCCCGGTGATTCAATGTGAACAAAAATAAAAATGAACAAACACTAAACAAAAGAAAAGACATGGTTTTAGCTTTTAAAAACTGAGTGGGAGAATCCGAACTTTGCCTGCGTGCAGACATCTCCTAGGGAGACGTCTGCTCGCAGGCAAACCTGAACTCAAGCCCATTCAATTTAAGGGGTGGCGAATGGTACCTCGAAGAACGTGGGTCTCGAAAAATTTTGGTAGGATCTCGAAATCTCCAGTTCAGTGTCGAAGTCTCGTTTTTTACTACTTTGTTTGAGTCTCGAAACTTTTTACCAGAGTCTCGAGCTCAGATTTCTAACTAGGATCTCGGCGTCTCGGCGAGTCTCGGATTTTACCATTCACCACCCCTAATATAGTTAAACCAAGAGAGGATAAAGGGGACAGAGAAGGCATCCCCAATACACACCCTATTCCATAGGTAATTCGTCTCGAGTTATTTTTAGAATCGCGATAAAGTTACCTCGCGCGCTGCGTGGATGTTTCGGGGAGGTTTCGCATGACTAAACGCCCTGCAAAACATGTCGGGCGAAAGGCCATGAAAGCGTAAAGAGATCGAGAGCATTTAAGAATATTGAAGCGAAATGATTCGGCGCTCACCTGGGAAAAGGGAATCGCTAGACTCTTTGACAACCCGTGAAATCAGTTTAACTCGAAGTTGTTGCAACCTCAGTGCTTCAATAAAATGAGAAATTTTGCCGGTCTATTGAAACCGGTCGTTTGTATAATAAAGCAGGTAGGACGCCAAGTGTTATTTTTGTTGAATAATAAAAGACTAATAAAAGAATAAATATCAAACCGGAAATTGCTCTCCTCAAACCGTAAATTATAAATGATCCTGAGAGAATCTTCAGTGTGTTAAGGATTTCCCTGCTGTACTGTTAGCTTTATACAAGAGAGGAAGGGCGATTCTTTTTAAATTTCCGTCTCGCTGACACAGCTTTAGCAGAAATCTCTCTTTAGTCGTTTTCGTCGACAAAGCAATTAGCAATATCGCTCTCCGCGTCTTCGGCCATTTTTTTCTGCGTCAGTTCGTGAAGGACGCGTGACTCTGAGCGTGGGTCATCCACGCGGAACACATTCGCGCTATGTGATTGGCTGTTGTCTAATCCCCCTTGGGATCTATGGTCTTAAAATAACTCGAGACGAATTAACTATGGAATAGGGTGTGTATGGGGGATGCCTTCTCTGTCCCCTTTATCCTCTCTTGAGTTAAACATCAAACGGGAAAAAAAAAACCTCGTCGGCAGGGCGTGCCATTAGCCAAAAACTTTAAGGGAAACAAGCGCTACGTGTAAACTGTTTTCATCAAATCAGCTGAATACGAGCTCTGCGTTTTCGAGGTCTGTATTTTCTATCGATTTCTAGACACCCCAAAAAAGGGAAAACAAGCGCCACTGGCAGACTGTTTTCATCAAATAGGCAGGTCTTATCTAAGAGTTGTATTTTCGAGGTCTGCATTTTCCAGGTCTGTAGTCTGCGGTATGTGTTTTCGAGGTCTGTGTTTTCTACACACCCAAGAAAGGCAGGGACCAAACTGCGCTAGGTACGTGTCCGTTTTACAGAGGTATCTATCTTGTAGAGAGAGTCGACTGTATACCACAAGAATCGTGTACTTTATTAGAGTTCCATCCTAGGCATATCTGATCATTTTTCACTATTCAGCCGCATGCCAAAGGATTCCTTCCTTTTGCATTTACTTCATCTTACCGTCGCTCCATACTCGATCCAGTCGCCTATTTCTTCTTTTCTTTACCACAGCCACTGTGTGCTAAAACTCTTTCCTTCCTGTTTAAAAGGCGACTCTATAGACAGTCTTCTAAGGTATGCCCGGTGATAGGGTTTTTCTATCCTCACGTTGTCAAAGTCTTCTTTCACTGCATCTTTCCCGGATGTTGATCTGCTCGTAGGAAATGAGATACAGCAAGGAGATTACGTCTAACAGTATAGCGTAGTGGCGAATGTAGCAATTACAAAACTGCTAAAAAGTGTAGTCAAAGGCGAAAAGGGCTTGTTTTACATCGGATAAAATTAAAATAGAATTAGTAAGAAAAAAATGAAAAATTAAATCAGCAATAGAAAATTTACATGTTAAAAAGCTGTACTAAATAAATTGTGTCTTAAGTTCTTTCTTAAAAGAGGATATAGAAAATTGTGAATGGTCTCTAAGGGCCGGTTTACATGGAGGTGGGGGACCCCAGGTAGGTGAGGTAACCGGCTTAGGTTGGGTGACCAAGGCGGATAGCGGGGTCTGCCAGTCAGGGTAACCCTCTCAGCCGGGGTCACCATATAAATGTTTCAAGGTGGGGTAACTCAACTAGCTCGGATACGTGATACATCAAATTCGCGCAAAATTCACTTTGGCAGTGGCTTTGCATCATTATTTAAGGTAACAATAGAAAGCCACAGCACTGAAGGTTGCAGCAAGAGCGGCAAGTGAGTGTAGAAGAACATTATTATCCAAAA